CCGAGAGCCTAACCACTAGGCTTTCACCACATATGAAACCTCTTTAAAATTTCGAAGAATGCGAGCATAACAACAACAAAAAACATTCCTTAAATTTCATGTCATTATCTCCTGCACCTATTGTCATGTTGCACATGGGAACAATTTTGACATTTTGCGGCTTCTTTTCTAGAACTGGATCAAACGAATTTGGTTAATTTTTGTTTCTTTAAAGGATCCTGTCACCAGATCTGTCTAGGTGCGCGTGGCTACCTCCGAGAAAATCACAACAGAGTTGACACTTTGAGGATCTCGAAAAGCGACATGCGCTTTTCTGGCAAACCGCATCATCATGAGAGCATTAAGAGCAGAACATTCCTACGTATTCTTTTGGATCGAATCTCGTTGAAACCCGCTGACAACAAATAATGAAACCACTATCCTGAAAAGTTGCATAACATTTCTCTACATTTTAAACCAAATCAGTTGATAAACGGTGACATGATAGAACGTTTATGATCTTGAATGCGTCTGAGGAAAATGTTTATATGTCGTCTCAATCGATAAATCGATGCTCAATTTTCTTCGCAACAGCACGGCATTTTATACATACCTTCCCTTCACCAAATACAAAATTTGAACAATATAAGTGGATTGTAGATGATCTTTCGCACCCTGCGGAGGAGTAGTATATTATTATTTCAATCCGTAATCTTTCTGGCGAATATAATTATGGGTTCAAGAATGTAAGCAATTTTCTTCACTGTCACAATTAATTGTCGAATGACATTTGGCGAGATTAAGTCGGCAGTACTCGCTATCTAAACCAGTACCAGGTCGTTGACCCTATTGCAAGCCCTACTGTATCGTTTTAAAACTTCCAAACTGATGGAAAAATGCCTGTTTCTCCGATTGCATTATTTTGACGAGCGCCTGATTTCACCACACTGCCTCACTTTCATGTAATTGCGTTTTCTTCATTAATATAAAATCAGTGGTCGTTGTTATGCAATGTAACGAAAACATGTAGGAAGAATGCGTATTTTAAGGAAGGAGTGCACGGAGGTATTAGGTAAACTATACTACGTGTGAATGAGAATTAGTTACGCTACATCCGTCAAGACAACGTTTTCGTGGGCAAATGAAGTACTTAATATAATATGGAGGGGCATCCCGAGAAAAGAATTCCCACCCGGTTTTCAACGCATCGTTCAAGTTCACCCGACTTCATGAATCTCAAACTTGATTATTTCAAGAGAATGTATTAATTCTTCCTGGTGCAACTGAAATCTTTTGGAAACCTGTATTGTATATAATAGTTCATAGATCAGATAGGAAAAAACAAGGAACTATTTTTATAGCTGAAGAATTGAACTTTCAGCACCCCTTTTTCCAATAACGTTTTATGGGTTCTGATAGCTAATATTTTGTTCTGGTTTTCGAACTAATTCATGTGCAGTCGGCTCGTCGGGTGAAAAAAACCCGTCTTAACCCTATCCGTTCGTCTTGTTTTACTATCATATCCATACGACGTGTAGAACTCTGTGCTACCACTTTCCAATGAGGAAATTCACTCGTTAATCCGATCTGTACGCTTTGCATAGCAGTCTGTCAAAATGATTTTTTGAGAAATACTGAAAGTTTCAAAGAGATCTTCGTACTAGAAGTATTCTAAAATGTGAAGAATACAACCATAGGGTACAAAATGACCCCACGTCGCACGTTTAGGGTTAAACCACGAAGATTGTGGCAGGTGGCGTTTCAGCTCTCCTAATAAACATCGAGGGTAGAAAAAATATAGTAGAGAAGTAGATATTTCTACTGGAAAGCATATAATAATAATTAATAATAATTGCATTTATATAGCGCATATCCATGCTCAAGAGCTTGCTCTATGCGCTTTACAACTATTATTACCCCAGCAGACCCTCTGAGAACACTCAGAAACATTTTCAGCTTCCGCGGAAGCATACATTTCAAGCTGCGGATTTCACGCGCTCAAACACTATCAAACTGACAAGATCTTTCACCGTCTGTAGCTGGGTACCCATTTCCACCTGGGTGAAGTGAGGAAAATTTGTGCAAAGTGCGTTTCCCAAGGACACAACGTCGGGCCCCTGACGGGATTCGAACCCACGACCTTACGGTTGCGAGTCCGAGAGCCTAACCACTAGGCTTTCACCACATATGAAACCTCTTTAAAATTTCGAAGAATGCGAGCATAACAACAACAAAAAACATTCCTTAAATTTCATGTCATTATCTCCTGCACCTATTGTCATGTTGCACATGGGAACAATTTTGACATTTTGCGGCTTCTTTTCTAGAACTGGATCAAACGAAATTGGTTAATTTTTGTTTCTTTAAAGGATCCTGTCACCAGATCTGTCTAGGTGCGCGTGGCTACCTCCGAGAAAATCACAACAGAGTTGACACTTTGAGGATCTCGAAAAGCGACATGCGCTTTTCTGGCAAACCGCATCATCATGAGAGCATTAAGAGCAGAACATTCCAACGTATTCTTTTGGATCGAATCTCGTTGAAACCCGCTGACAACAAATAATGAAACCACTATCCTGAAAAGTTGCATAACATTTCTCTACATTTTAAACCAAATCAGTTGATAAACGGTGACATGATAGAACGTTTATGATCTTGAATGCGTCTGAGGAAAATGTTTATATGTCGTCTCAATCGATAAATCGATGCTCAATTTTCTTCGCAACAGCACGGCATTTTATACATACCTTCCCTTCACCAGATACAAAATTTGAACAATATAAGTGGATTGTAGATGATCTTTCGCACCCTGCGGAGGAGTAGTATATTATTATTTCAATCCGTAATCTTTCTGGCGAATATAATTATGGGTTCAAGAATGTAAGCAATTTTCTTCACTGTCACAATTAATTGTCGAATGACATTTGGCGAGATTAAGTCGGCAGTACTCGCTATCTAAACCAGTACCAGGTCGTTGACCCTATTGCAAGCCCTACTGTAGCACCCCCCCCCCCCCCCATCCTTCCTCCGTCCTCTCCCCAACATCACTTTGGGGTTACTGCCGCCGTTTTCATTTTGATCAATACTCGGCGAAACCTGCCTCG